TATTATCACGGTTCATCCGTGTGTGGAAGATGGGGAGACATCGTGAACTTTCAAATATTTGTTTGTAGGCTACACTCCGCTCGTTTAAAAGAACAGTTTTTGAGTTATTGTGCAACCAGTGAGGAAGCTGTGTGAAGTTGTACGAAATATGAGTTCACTCTGTCTCGGCCCTTTGGTGTACACTAAAATGTTGTTTGAGGAATACAATAGTCTATGCCTGGTGCTTGGGGGCAAGGAAAATGCGGGATCTTAGGCGAATGTGATGTTACGCGACGCACAAAGGGAAGAATCTAAGGTGACCCATTTTAAAACCCACAACTGGTAAATGGTCTCCCTTCACTCTAAAATGAATCGATGTGGCCCCTGGGTGGGTTTATGACATATAGCTTGCAAAGAGTGGTCTACCTTGATGACCAATCACAGTGGCATGAGACATGCCATTTTCACTTCTATGTTAAATTTCAAGATCTACGCTTACCCAGTTGCCCCTCCCCTTTACCTGTCCATGACTTGTAGCTTTCCATCTCTGGCCGAGGTCCCCCGCCTTTGTTGTTACGCATCATTACGTTGTGACCACACCAATTAAAATTCAGTCTGGGCTTGCAAATTCGGGAGCAGAGACTGTAACTGTTGCAATGGTTTACCCAGCTTGTGATATAAGTTTACGTGGAGAGCTCAGATGTGAGTGCAATGTTGGAGAAAACAAACTCTTTGGTGAATTAACACCTCGGTGTGATCACATCAGGACTCATTCTGGAGCAAACATTGTATCATTCCATTGGCTTTTATTATAATATTAATAACGTGATCATATTTATTTACGAGAGTGGCTGATCTCAACTTTTCACTCTTGGTTGCTCGAGTGTGTCCGCCTGGGTTTTTGTTCCATAAATTATTATCTGGAGGGTGTTCAGTAAATCTGAGCTGGATCTAAAGCGAACCAGGATCGTAGGCGAGGGGATCCTAGGCGGAGACTACTATATCGCTGGTGGAGTGATGAAACCTCGTAACCCTCAATTTTTTAAGAAATTCGTTTGTTTGGCTTAATATCTTCTCCCAGTTCTTCTTCACAATGTGTCAAAAGCACTAGGTTTAATTAGTAAGAGAAAGCATGAAAAAAACGTAATAAAAAAACCTCGTATGTTTGCCCCCATGATATCCTGGCGTGATGAAACCTCGCAACCCTCACCCGGTGCGCCGATCTGCTTTTGCGTGGTTTCATCACTCCCGGTTTGAGAGAGTGGCGAGCTTATACGAGGTTCTGGATAAGCCTTCTTTATGAATTAGCTTAATTGAAGCGCTAATAACTGACATTGTCTGGTGCATTTAATGTATCTGACGGAATAAAGAAATATTTCATTCATTCATTCTTCCATACATTCATTCATTCTTTTATTCATTCACTTTATTTCAGTCAGTTCAGAAGTTCAAATAGGGTCATAAGTGAAGTACTTACATTGTGTAAATATATTAAAAGTCCATTCATAAGGATGACTAACATGCTGATAATCAAGATGTTCTCATCGAGCACAAACGTAGTTAACATTTAAGTTAAGGCAACAGTCACACCTTGAAATGACAGGTGATGGTAGTCCTTACTAAGACTAGGTGACAGATTTATGCACTCTCCAGATGTCAACAGGCCATTCTGTTTATCAAAGAGAGGGTAAGGTTTCGCATTTTCTTAGATTATTTTTAGTTTTAGTAGAGGTTTTACAGCGCTCGCAACTGCAAAAGGCCATACGAGCGCCAAGGGTTGAATGTCAACAGAGAAGTCCTTATAGGGAATCAAACTTACTCTGCTCACTTCTCTAGCTTCAGCAGCAGAAAATCTGCTTCGACTGCATGTATCAAGGCACCCCGGAAATAGCGGGTCACAAGAGTGTGACAAACATACAAAAGAAGTAGAGGAAAATGACGATAGTAAGGATTAGGACAGAAAAAGCCGCAGTTCTCTGTTGTAGTTCAGGCACAGTTATGAGCATGACATTGTTAGATCAGCCCATTTACTTTACAATTCTACTGTGCACTAGAACAAAAAATCCCCCCCCCCCCCACCACAATTTTGAATTTGGGAATGGCCTAAAGACACTTCAGTTAGTGGCACTGCCCCGGGGGAGTCTCAGACTATGAATCCGCTGTGCAGTTGAATCCTCCAGTTGTGGTTGACACCGAATAGTGCTGAACTTAACTGTGGTCTTGATGACTCTGAAGTCTTTAGAGGACATTGTGACAAATTTGTGCCTCAACAACACAAGTAATACAGACATTTCCGAATCTGTATTGAATATCTCCTTCTAACTGTGCTCATCACCTAGATCTTTATACCCTACAAGTGCTGGTTTGGAAACCATTGAGCAGACCATGTTCCATGAATTGACCCCCACCCACCATATCGCAGTCCTTTCCAGGGCTGTCCCTGATATGTGGAGATAAGGAAGTATCAGCATCATCCCAGACTGAGTCTGCACCAATACCGGTGTCTCCGGGAATCATACCCCAAACCATACTGACGTTTCACTTGGCAGCTGTAAGTCAGATGCTGAATTATTACCTTCGAGGTCACAGCAACACGATTTGTGGACCATATTCAGGCACCTTAGCCACTTTTCCTGGAGCCTGATCCAGAGACACAGCTCATTTGTGATGCCAGCGTAAATGATGCTCCACAGAGGAAAAGAAAGGGTTTTCAGGAGTGGCAACAAATAAGCGAAAAGCTATCCGTGGATCAGGACAGGATCGGAATACATAAAGGTTCAATGAAAAGCCCAACTAAGTTATTGAAACCAAACTGTAATTGCAAGAGCTGGACTCTGAAATGTAAAGGGCTCTCTGAAGTCGATAGACATTCTAATTTTGATTTAGTGTGGACCCTCTCATGGGATGACTAGTTGACTAAGACCAACCTCAGAGGAGGTATTCAGAGACTAACCAGAGAGGGAATACCTTCAATACACACTTTTAAAAGGTGGCCTAAGGTGCCGGTGTGTTAAAAGATGTTCCTGAATTGAACTGGGTTGGATGAATGATTTGTAAGAAACATTTAGAACCAATAATATTATCAAGGCAACTCAGATATCAACAAAATATATGCACAATTCTGCCAAGACCACAGGAGGCGGCCTCTCAACAGATCCGGCCTCAATGAAGCATTTAAGCAGAATAATCTGTCGCTATTCCTGTCAAAGATAGATATGTGCGACTTTTGCATCAGTCGGGAAGTTGACAATGTGCTTGAGGATCTTTGGAATGCTAACATTCTAGAAAAGGAAGCAGCGCGCAAAGAAAAGGAACGAGCTGAACGAGCCATCAAATCTCTCGCCAGTAATGAACCTAAAACGGCCATACTTTCAATGGATCTTCAGCATCAGTCTTACATTACAAAACAAAACTCGTCGTTCATAACTTTACGCTATTGGATGCTGCAACGGGTCAGACTATTTTTTTATGTGTGTCATGAAGCAGAAGGGGGACTTATGGCAAATGAGTTAGCTTCATGTCTATTGGATTTCCTGAAGGAAAAGCTGGACTTCCAGAAAACCCTTATCGACAGCGACAACTGTGGTTACCGATAGAGAAATGTCACACTAGCCAATGTTTCTCTCTGCCTTTTTTCAACAACACATGGAAGCACAATTGAACAGAAACCTTTTTGTCAAATGACATACACAAATGAAAATTAACTGTGAATTCAACTACATGTATTAAGAGATCGCTTCGAAAAACACGCATCGAGGTCCTCCAAGACTACCTCCATTTCTTCATGATGGCAAGAGCAAAACAAGAAACTTATCGATACAAATATTTAGATCACACATTCTTCAAGGAATATTCTAAGATTCTAAGTGTGGAAGCTACGACAAGTCTATAAGACTAGGTAGAAAAACAGGTGATCCTGTTGTCGGGTGTTTGAAGTACACCCCAGACATGAACATCCAGTTCAAGATGCACCTGAAGGATGAATGGGTTGCTGTTCCGAAGGCTGGACACAGAAACATAAGGTCCATCCTACCTCACCACTCTACACAACACGTTTAAGTTCCAGCACTTCAAGTACAATCACCTACAGGTGCTTAAATCTGTTATTGCCAATATGCATCGTCACTTCATTACAATTTATACCATTAACATTAATGGATGCTCATTATGATTCAACATCTCTTATGAAAACCATCTGTAGTGCAAAGAGAGACCATATTGCTGAGATTTATTATTAATTTGTGCTTTTTAGTCAAACTGGAAGTAACCAGATCTATTCTTGGCAAATTATAGTGAAACAAATTGCATTAATTGCAATCCGTTTGAGGATTGAAACATAAATTCTGCAGGTAACACACATTTATTTGACTTCAGTTGGCCGGGAATCGAACTCCAAACCAATTGGTTTTGAATAAACATCTTTATCACTTTGTGGCGTTTCAAACAACAGACGCATACTGCAACCAAAATGAGCAGCGAGAAAACTCGCAACCCTCAAACTCTGTCCTGATGAAACCTCGCAACCCACCCGCCGGCTGACTACGTGGTTTCATCACGACAAAAATGTTGTAATGAAACCTCGCATCTCACAGCGTAACCACATAAACAATGGAAAAGTTATTTTTATGTACTAACCACGTTTCTAAGGTGTTTTCATTTATCTGTACCAACTTTGGTTCCAATAAATCATTTTGTTCACGAGTAAATCAGTTTTTTGTCTCTCCTGTAAAATTTTCCTTTCTGGGGTTAAGAGGTTTCATCACTCCACCAGCGATATATTATGTCAACTTTTTAATTCTTGAGGTGTAATCTTAAAAAAATAGATGAGAGAGTTACGCTCCTGCAATCAGGAAAGTCTGCAAATAAGCCACATGGTTTAAAGGTGAGGAAAAAAAGTCAGGGCTACTCTTTCTCCCTATGAATTTACTTGGTATGCTTTCTCATGTTCTGTTGATTCTGCGACTGCTTGAACTTTGGTTCATTTTTGTTAAATCTAATTTTTCTTTTTTTTTCTTTTTCAGCAGCTACTTTTGAATATCCAAACGGTGGAAATCAGTTGTGCACATCATAAAAAAAGAAGTCAACATGCTTAGATGGCAGTTTCAACGTTGTGGTGGTCAGTCCGGGCAAAGTAGAAAACGGTCCCTGTCATCCCCTCATAAAACAGAGGTTTCCACATTTTCTATGACTGAGGAGGATACACTTGATGCCCGTGAGGCTTCTTTGGAGGAAGATGTTTTGGGCATTGGAGAAAATATCGTGGACAATTTGCCAGAGGTTATAATGTTATAGTTGTTTGTTTGTTTTTTGGGGTTTGAAGTTAAGAATTCTGTGATTTTGGAGTAGGCGTACAGGTGTACTTTTCCCCTCTTTCTTCTATGTCCATATTGTGAGTGGAAAATGTGTCCTTTGGTGTAGTCTGCTGAAGAGTTAATTTTTTGTCGTAATTTGTTTCTGGTGAAGTTCCTCGCTTGCTGGAAAGAGATATGTCTCAAATTTCTACATGAGGTTTTTCTCACATTTATGATGTCTGTCCCAGAAGTAAGTTTCTCTCTTTTGTAAAATCGAACATTTTTATTTTACAGATATAAACAGGGTGAATGCCAGGCCGCGGGAATTCGACAAAAATTGCAAAGACCCGGGAATTTGAGGAAATCTGCAAATTGCCCTGGGAAAATACATTAAAGTTTTCAAACATCTGACAATCAAATCGAGTAACGTCCTTGGGTTAATTTTTGCCGGTCACAATTGTCATATTCATTTGGCTTTTCCCAGTCTGAGAGTATGTTTCACGCGAACAGGTGGCTATGGCTGCAAGCAGAAGTGTATGTGTGATACCAAAGCTTGATCTGCTTTCGCTTCCGTTACCACCTAGAAATTTGCCGGTGGCAGTCTGATTAACGCAACATTTGTAACATGCAGGTTGTGCATTACTTTAAAATTGCAAAGCACAAGGAAATCAATGCCTGTAAAGGTTGGCTCCAGGGGTCATACATTGGATCTGGTCAACTGATAAAAGGTTTAAGTGCACTTTGTTGGATTTTTACTTGAGAAAAATGTTTAATTTGTAAGTGTTTTACGCCGCTTGCAAATGCATATGGTTATGCGAGTGCGGGGGAGACATTAAGCTTTTTCAGTTAGTAAGAAATTTGAAATTTGCTCGGGTGGCAGCCGAAGCCTTCTCTTATCGATTTTGAACCATCAAGGGATCTTTGACGTTCGCAACTTGCCCATGGGACTTGCAAGATTTTTCGCCCTTCTCCAAGAAGGCTAGGTGTTAGTTAGATCTTACCTACCATAAGATCAGAGATGTGGCCGAAAGATAGTAGTAAGAAGGATCCAAGGAGTAGCAGTGGAAAGGCTGCTGAAAGAGTCAGGAGCCCAGAGCGAGGAGCAAAGGAAATGAGGGGGTGGGGCAGAAAGTGGAGATGAAAGCAGATGACAGAATATTATTAGAGAGCAGGAAAGGAGTTGAGAGAAGAAAATTTTCTGTCGCTATTTGTATTCGAACTCGAGACCTGTTGAACGAGGGGCGAGGTGAGCACCGTAACCTCTTGACCACGAGAGCGCCTTGAGAAAGGTTTGGTAATATTATTATTATGCCCTTATATGGGAAAGACTTTTCCCTCACGGTAATCAGTGTCATTTGATTTTTCGGAAGTGCAGACATTTGAAGTTTATTTAAAGAAAAGGTCATATTTTTTAGAGACTTTTGGGAGTTTTCTGCAGTAATTATAGCAGGTAGAATCTAGATTTTTTTAATTGACAATAATTTAATAATTTACTTATTTTCCAGAATTCCCAAAGAAAGCTGAAAAGAAAGAAGAAAAGAAAGTCATCGGAGGAAGGAAAAAAAAAGTGGGAGGATTCAGACGATGAGCAAGCTAAAGAGTGAGTTGATGATCAGCATGTATTGTTACCTGAATTAAAAATTTCGCTTTGCTTTGAAAGACATGAATAAGATTTGTCTCACTATCTCCCTATTTAATGTGAACCGCTTACTGTTCCCACTCGCTTTTTTAAAATCAATGCTGGCCATCTTTGGGCTGTTTGTAGAAGCTTCTTTTATATTTGTAATTTTTTTGTGTATATGAGCCTATGCCAGAACCTGAGCATTTTACTATGTGTGATGCAGTATTGTTTTGTACTTTTAGAGAAAGCATTTTTATCTGTTCGTTACATATATAATATATGATGTTAATATGCTGTAGTAGCAGTACAAGCAAAACAATTTGTTTCATGCATGAGTTATATTTAAAAAATGATGATATGTGACAGTTTTGCTGCTATTTTTGCACATGTCAATAATATGTGACCTGAAAACAGCAATGTGATTACTTTCAAACAGGTTTTTTCGAATTGAGTCTTTAAAACTTTACTAGTACTGCCTGTCAAATCTAAATCCATCGTATCCCACGGGGCAGTGCCTCTGACTGAAGTGTCTTTAGGCCATTCCCAAAGGGGGGACATTTCTAGTTCATGCACAGTAAAATTGTAAATGGGCTGATTCATCCATGTCACGCTCATAACTGTGCCTGATCTACAACAGGGAACTGCTGCCTTTTTATTTCCTAATCCTTACTATTGTCATTTTTTTCCTCTACTTCTTTTGTATGTTTTGTCACCCTCTTGTGACCCGCTATTTCCAGGGTGCCTTGAAAGTTGGAACAGACTTTGTGCTATTGAAGCTAGAGAGGTGAGCAGAGTAAGTCCGATTCCCTGTAAAGACTTCTCTGTTGACACCCACCCCTTGGCGCTCATATGACCTTTTGCAGTTGCGAGTGCTGTAAAACCTCTACTTAATAATAAAAAGTCCGTCGTTTTTCAGACATACAAGTGAATACTTCATCGGGCTACACAATTTTCAGCAATTGTGATTTTTAAATGTGTCTTTGATGACTTCTGTGCACGCTTTGTGCTACAAAACTCGATTATTAAAGTGGAAATCAGGTGAGCGGTTTCCTACTGAAGACAGGAAGTAACATTTGTATAATGGGGTAATTTCTGAAAAGATACTTTACATCCTTGAATGAAACTAAAATTTGGCATCATCGGGTTATTGGTGTCAGATAATCAAGTAAAAGTGTACTCTTTGTAGCATGTGACTACATTTTTCAGCCTGGACAAGTAAGTAAAGCTCACATCATCTGGCTCATGCATTGCCCCGACATTTGAGCAATGAAGAAACTTTTTTAAAAGCGAAAATATTTTTGTGTCATCAGCTTTACATGTGCAGATTCATCTGGAATGCAAAATGCAGTCTAATGTGGTTTTCTAAAGTAGATTTATGCAATAATTGGCAAGTAAAGGAATTTGTCTTGTCAAAATCCCATCTTTTTTGAATGATGGCAAAGCACCAAAATGCTACACCACAGATTTGGGAATGCCAAGACGTGCAGGGAAAATAACTGTTTTTGTGAAGAGCAGGGATGCCACTTTTCCGCTTTTTTTCCCGGTATTTCCGGTATTTTGATCCTGATCCGCTATTCTGTTATTGAGATCGAGATAGAATCTATAGTTGAAAAAAAACCCCAAAAAACAAACCCAAACACACACTTTCTATGTACACCCTTTGTGTTTTTTTTTTTGTCATTTCTGTCTATGTACACCCTTTGCTTATGTTTGTTTGTCATTTCTCTCAATGTACACCCTTTGGCTTTCAAATTGATATTCATATGTTTGCAAGACCGTGGCGCATGGATTTTCAGCTATTTTGGAAAAAAGTTGAGTGGCATCCCTGGAAGAGGGTTACAAGGCGATTTGGGTTGCTAAATCCCAGACATAAAAAAATTATACATGCATATAATGCAATAGAAATTCGAATTTTAAAAAATAACTTCCTAAGACTGTCCAAAGTATTCTCTTCTGACGCCCATAACTATGATGACAAAAATGTTGTCACAGTAATGGGCAGAAGAAAAGGACCCTTTTATAATATAATTCTCAAGAAGGTGCTGTCCTAATCTTAATATGTCAGTGTACAGTGTAATTTACACAAACATACATATATATATGGATATCACAATAGTAATGTTTCACAAGAAAAGTTGGAAAAGAGAACTGTTTTATTTTGATCATGCTATCAGATACTCATATAACTATGATGACATATTCTATCAAATATCACACAGCTGTGACATAGGTCCTGTCCTATGCGCATGCGAAATGTGTGTGAGAAGCGGGAAGTGCTGTGAACAATCTCATTTTCCGTGTAACTGAGTTTTATTGATTTTATAAAAATTCTGAAGAAATTTTTTGGTCCAGCCTCAGTTGTTGTGAAAAAATATGATTACATTAAGACAAATTAATAAAAACTGTTGTGCAAAGTTTGGGCGACATTGATTCTCCCGTTAAAGAGATAGATCTACTTTACTTACTTGTCCACTGTGTTGGGGTCACTGCAGTCGGAACATGTCCCATCTCTGCTCATAGATCTACTTGAGGATAAGTTGTGCCGTGAATTTTTTGACCGCACTATAGTACATATTTCCTATTATCATTGTTATACACCAAAGTGACCATCAAACACCCAAATTTCGCACAAAATATTCATTTTGTTGCAGTAATTGTACATGATTATGAAAATAACAGCAATTACATACATATTCATGGCATTGAACCAGAAAGGATGCAAATCTAATTTTTTGACCGTTGTGACTTGTTTTGGAGTACCAGGTTCTGGCAAAGGCTCAGATACAGTCCAACTGTCTGAATTATATGGTCCTTTTAAAATTAAACTAATGTAAATTTGCCCCGCAATACCACCAGCGAGGTGGCCGCCAGAGGTACACATTACACTCGTAGCACTGTACCCACTCTGTAGCGTTTTGGTAATCTTTTTCTCACTCACGTCTCTGTGGGTTCGCCCGTTTCTAGCGTTCTTCGCCGATTTGCTCCTGACTTGCTCTGATTTTGAAAATGCTATGATTTTTAGGCATCGTCTGATATTTTAGACAGGAAATTGGAATTAAATTTTAGAATTACCTGGAGAAACTTTAAAGGAACCACTCCACTTCAGAGTGTCGGCAAAACATCTGGTGTTAGTTGACATCAGTCTGATGACGAAAAGGTTGGCGGGCACCTGTCAGGCGAGTATCGAGTAAAAAACTAACCCCCCCACTTCTACAGGGTTCTTGGCACATATGCCTAGCATCTGATATGGCAGAAATGTTCAATTTGAATATATGTGAGGCAGAGTGGTGAAATCAGGCCCTCGTCAAATTAAAGAACACATTTCTGTGTGGATTTACTGAAAAAATGTTGATTTAAGGCATAAAAGATGTAAATTTTGTGTTTCCCTGGGCTCTCAAGCTAAGGAAATAACTCAACTTTGGCGGCCATTTTCCCGCTAATTTTACCTCTGAAAACAGGGGACCCGCACCTCCTTCAATCGCCAATATCTTCACATGTATTCAAGATAAATGGATATTGTTTTCATTCAAAGCAGGGCAAATGGATAAGCTTTAAGATGATACCAATAACTCCACATGCCCCAAAATTGACGAGCGCCTGATTCCACAGTGTCGTGACACATGTAAATTTCAACTGGAGCTGTACATTACATGTAATTGGTTGCTAATTGTTTTTCCTCGCTCATGGCAATCGTGCTGGACAGATCTAGAAGGGGTGGAGACTGGCCACAGTTTGTCTCTAGTCTCTATTCCTGTCTACCACTTGTCAAAATGGCAATTGATGCTATCCTGTTATACTCCCTGCTGTACCACCTTCATCTCGTCCCAAGGTTAGCGGTATAACACGGTTTGGCTGTATGTGTAGTCTAATGTGTTACTGTTCGTTAGTCTTTCTTGCCCTTATTTCCCTGCCATTTTCAGTTGTTCATTAAAGTTTTATGAGGACCCTGTTGTAATAAGCTTTTGTTGTTTGTTTGCCTGTCTTTCAACTTTGTGTGTTTCCCAGATTTGACACTGTAACTCCCTCTTGGGCTGGAGCGTTTGATGATGAAAAGTCTGATGGTAAGTTTTTGTAGACTGAATTATCACTTTTATTCTGAATAGTAGTGAGGCGCGCTGACAAAATACGTTATAAATCGCACAAATTAGACTAAAAGCCGAGAATTGTCTCATTATGTCAGCAAGTCTCACATATTTTAGTCCTGTTGATGGAGTAGTCTTTTTTTTTTTTTTAAAGTTTTTGGAGGGCTCTTATGGTCTAGAGGTTAAGGTGTCTGCCTCTCATTCAGTTGGTCCCGGGTTCGAATTCGGATAGCGACAGAACATTTTTTTCTCTAAAATGTTCTCCTTTCACATCCTTTCCTGCTCTCTTACAATGTTCTGTCGTTTGCTTTCATCTTCACTTTTGCTCTCACTTCCTTTGCCCCTTCCTCTGGGCTCCTGACTCTTTCTGCAGCCTTTCTACTGCTACTCCTTGGCTTCTTCTTACTGCTGTTTCTCAGCCACACCTCTGATCTTATGGTAGGTAAGATCTAACTCGTAGCCTTCTCGAATATGGATGAAAAATGTGGGAAGTCGCGTGTGCAAGTTGCGCATGTTTAAGATCCATTGGTGGTTCAAAATCGATAAGAGTAGGCCTCGGCCGTCACCCGGGCAAAATTCCAAGTTTCCCACAAACTGAAAATGTTTAGTGTGTCTCATGCGCCGTATGACCTTATGCAGTTGCGAGTGCCCTTATATACTTCCCCCCCCCCTCACACACACAGAGCACTTTTTCCAAAAGAGGTGACACACACATACAGTTTGAAAACATAAAAAGAGGTGTAAGGTTTTGAGGTGAATTCTCTGTGGTCTATTTTTTCTTAGTTTTTTTTAGTTCTGTCCTTTTCATATTTTTCATTCATATCGCAATATGCAGACAGTGATGACGAAACGTTGAAAGCACACAGCTACCACAGCACGGGTGTATCTACCAATCTTTTGTCAAGTTCTTTCAACTTCAAGCGGGTTACAGATGGCAATAAAGAGGAGCCAAGCAAGGTAAGGTTCAGAATAGAATGGTATTGTTGCCTTGTAATTACTAGTTTAAAAAAGAACAGCCAATAGACCTGCATGTTTGCCGACAATCGCCTGAAATCCGACAATCGCGACCCTACCCTCGAGCCGGCCGATGCTATCGCTAGGCTCACCTGTACTAGTCAATGTGCGAGGCTTGGCCGACTGCCAGCGCTCCCTTTTTCTCCCGTCGGCTTTTTCGGCACTTTCGTTTTCGTGCCGACCGCCGGCGTCGGCGTTTCCGACATAATTGTCGGAATCTGAGTAGAAATACGAAATATGAAAAAGGACGGCGACCTAAATTATCTACTTTCAGTTTCGTGCTCGAGCGGCCATTTTGAATTTCGTTTGTTGACTGATTGTTAAGATCATGTGGGTTCATTCAAGTCCGACTCACTTGTTCTTCTAGATTTAGATTTATATATTCCAATTCTATTGTGTCAAACCCTATTATAGGTTGTGCTGTAATATTAATGTTGGTAAAAAGCATTTCATCAGGTGCGTGAATTATTTATTTATAGACTCAGCTGAGTCCCTCTGTTTAGAATCGGATGCTGATTTCTCGTTCAAGGCCTATTATTATATTAAATTCTGTTCACTTGTTCTACTACATCTAGACTCTTTTTTTTTTTTAGATTACTAGATCTAGATCTATATGGTGGATTCATATTCCAATTCTATTTTGTTATTGTATCAAACCCTATTAGGGGGCTCTCGTGGCCTAGAGGTTAAGGTGTTGGCCTCTCATTCAAAGGTCCCGGGTTCGAATCCGGGTAGCGACCGAAAAATTTTCTTCTCTAAAATTGTCTCCTTTCACCTTCTTTCCTGCTCTCTAGCAATGTTCTGTTGTCTGCTTTCATTTCCACTTTCTGCCCCCACCCCCTCACCTCCTTTGCCCCCTCCTCTGGGCTCCTGGCTCTTTCTGCAGCCTTTCCACTGCTACTCCTTGGCTCCTCCTTACTGCTGTCTTTCAGCCACACCCCTGATCTTCTGGTAGGAAAGATCTACACCTAGCCTTCTCGGACAAGGGCGAAAAATCTCGGAGGGCCCGTGTGCAAGTTGCGCACGTTAAAGATCCCTTGGTGGTCTAAAATCGATAAGAGTAGGCTTCGGCCGCCACCCGGGCAAAATTCAAAATTTCCTACCAACTGAAAATATTAGGTGTGTCCCGCGCGCTCATATGACCTTATGCAGCTGCGAGCGCCGTAAAACACTATACAAAACCAACCAACCAAACCCTATTATAGCAAAGAAGGCCATATTAGATCTATGCTCCTTGTTTGTTTTAGAGTGTGGATTTTTTTTTTTTTTTTTTTTTTTTTTTTTAAATTTTGGACTTGTGCTGGCCTTTTTACATGAGGGCCGTTGCAGGTTCTTTTTCGGCGTAGGCCTGGGGTTAGGGTTAGGTCTCTTCTTTATTGTGTTTGTTTGGGATGGTCACTCATTACTCGGAAGTCCTTCCTTTTGTGACACCCACAAAAGCTGTTATAGGGGGGGGGGGGGGGGGGGTGCGCAAAATTTTCAGACAATCTGGTTCGGGCTCACATGCAGGTCTACAGCCAAGGCAGTGCTTCCTTCACCCTGAAGACAATTCTGAATTTAATGTCTGAAAAAACAATCTTCCTGTTGTTATCATGTTGTTGAATGTAGTGTATTTAGTGTAAATCTGATTGCAATTACTACTAGCAGGTAAGGAAACTCACCTTTCGTATAATTAGTGTTACTGATTGTAAAGATGGTTTCTAAACATAAGAGAAGTTAATTTTTAAAAAATAAAATTATGTGAGTTACAAATAAAACAGGGTGTCCAGTAAAGTCGTAAATTCAGCGCCCTGGTCGTGAAAGTCGTAAATGGTAGTAAATTTGCCTTGAAGGTAGTAAAAATTTGGTAAACGGTAGTAAATTAGCCTGCATACTGAGTGATGAAGCCAGCAAGACTTTTCAGTGAACCCTAGCCGCGGTACATGACTCCGTTTTTGCAGGTCGCGATTGTGATATAATTATTCGTTCACCTTTTCCCCGCCCGAGAGTACGTTTTACGCGAAAAGTCGGCTATGGCGGCAGGTGGAAGTGTATGTGACACCGAGGCTCGATCGGGAAAATCAAGATCTACTTTCGCTTTCGTTACCCCCCTGAAATTTGGCGAAGATAAACTGATAACGCAACATTTGTAATATGCAGGTTGTACAGTATAAACGCTGTGTCGCCGTGCAAACAAAATTTAATAATTACTCGGACTTTTCACCGTGCTGTCACTTGTGGGGGTGGGGGGGGGAGTGAAAAGAAAATAGGAGCTTTGTTCGATTTTTAGATTGTCGGGTTCGCCAGCGTGACAGGTCAGTGAACCTTCGCATGAGGCACTACAAGGTACGGCATCGGTGAGCACCGGCGTTTGTTGGGGTCGCCAAAGTTCATTAAAAAGTCGAGCGTTGCGAAGTATAGGACTACGGAGTAGGGCAGGCAGGGATTATTGATTTTTTAAAGAGACTCTCGGGGGAGGAGGGAGCGGATGAAGGCAACACCAGAGGACAAAAACTGTAAGCAAATTTCAGAATTTAGATTAGATTTAGAGCCCTCTGCAAAGGGCGTTAAACCCATACCAAAAACAATACAATACAAACTCCATCATCGGCACCAACCCTTAGTTTGTCGAATCTGAGGTTGGTCCAGGTGTAAGTACTGAAAGGGGACGTAACCCAGTGTAGTGATATTTCTGTTGTTGCTTCTCTGTTTACTTGTTGTCTTGTCTGTTGTGGCGTAGCCATACTGTGTCCAATGCTCATTCATGACCCAGGGAAAGGAAGGAAATTAATCATCATCATGGCCTTTCTCACCCTGGGTTGGGATGATATAGGCCATGAACAAATGCTTTCCCTATCCTGGGCTAGCTGCTTGATGTCATTCCATGTCTTCCTGCTTTTCTGTACATCTACTTCAGTGAGTGGGTGGTTGGCGGGTGCTCTGGTGTGGTTTGCTCCTTCTTTCCTATAAACAAATCTATCGTCTTTATCTCCCTTTCTTTTTTGTGTTTGTTGCTCTCTTGTAACACCTCTAATCTTCAGCACTTATTTGACCTTATTGTGTTGCAAGTGCTGTAAAACTCTTACTAAAACTATTTCTATGACTCTTTTCCAAGTTCCAAATGGACTTTCCCGTGATATTTTACTCTGCGGGTTCCACTTTTTTTGTTATGCAGCTGCTTAAGTTCCTGAGAGTGTGTCCAATCCATTGCCACTGCCTTCTTCCCACCTCATATCTGACTGGGCTCTGTCTCGTTCTTCTTAATACTTCTTTGTTGGTGACCCTGTCTGTCCATTTTGGTCCTCTTTAACTTCTTTAGACACTTGTTCAAGAAAACATGGGTCATCTTTATGCAAGTCTGGGATGTGTTCCATGTCTCACATCCATACAACAAGACTGACTTCACATTTGAGTTGAAGATCCTTAGCTTTATTCATTGTGAGACATCCCTAGTCCTCCAAATTCTATTTTAAGATATTTAAAATTGTGGTCTTTGCTTGCATCTGTTTCTGGGTGTATGACAGATGTGCCAAGTCATTTGCAAAGTCCAGATTGTCCAACTATGTCCTTGGGTATCCACTGTGCTTCTTTCCAGTCCTTTGGTAAATTGCTCTCATCCCTGATCCTGGTAAACAGTAAGAGAAGGAGGTCTGCTGTCACTTTGGCATCTGGCCTCGTGTGGAATCTGATCAGGATCAGCAGCTTTACCTTTGTTCAGCTTCTTAATGGCCTTCATAATCTCTTGTTTTGATGGAGCATCGCAGCAGAGTGGTACTCTTGCTGTCAGGACATTTGGTGGGTTACTTGGTGGTGGTCTGTTCAGGAGACTGTTGAAATGCTGTACCCTTCGTTATGCCTGCAGAGATGCCAACCAGTACGATTTTACGTATTTTAGTAAGGTTTTTTGCCGAAAATACGCGAATACGACTTTTCATGAAAAAATACGCATCCTGGAATGCGAAAAATACAAGATTCAGCTTGGGCAAGTAAACGTAATTATATCAAGTCCCATCTTTTGTCAAAATAGTAACAGTATCGCAGAACTGGAATATTTGAAAACCTAGTCCGATGTGGTCAGTAAGTTCATTTTTGCCGGTCACAATCGGGATATATTCGTTCTGCTTTTCCCCGTCCGGAGACTACATTTCACTTTCACGCGAATAGGCAGCTATGGCGGCTGGTGGAAGCGTATGTGACACTGAGGCTCGATCGGGAAAATCAAGATCTACTTTCGCTTTCTCTACCACCGAGAAGTTTGCCGGCAGTTGTCTGATAACGCAACATTTGTGGCATGCAGGTTGTGCAGTATGAACGCAATGTCGCCGTGCAAATATAATGTAATAAATACTCGGACTCATCGCTTTGGCTGTCACTTGAAAAAAAAAAAAGAAAAGAAAATACAAGCGTCGTCCGATTTTTAGATTGTCTGGCTCGCCATCGTGACCGGTCACTGAACCTGCGCGCATTCGCATCTTAGATAAATGCGGCATCATGTGAGTATACACCGTCTTTGGTGGGAGTAACGGCGTTGCGAAGTATAGGACTACGGAATAGGGAAGGAGATTATTGATTTATTTTGGGGGGGGATTAAGATACTATCGGGGGCTATACCGGAGGACAAAAACTTGGAAGCACATTTCAGAATTTTAATTAGAGCTTTCTGCAAAGCGCGCGTTGGTGCAGGCCGTGTGCGGAATCGGGACCCCTCATACTCATACTTTAGGTGCTTTTCCGGTAGTTCCCACCCCCCTTATTTGAACCTGACCTACATCTAGATTCTAGATCTATACGTTTGATTCGCGGCAAGCTAAGATATCAAACCTAACAACTGCAAAACATACCCCCCTGAAACCCCCCACCATATTTTTATTTGGTCAGGGGCAAGCCCCCCCTGAAACCCCCCTACTCTTGGGGCCAAAACCGGTGATTAACAATTGCAGGGTGGGAACTACCGAAAAAGCGCC